TACAATCACAACAGCTTAAATGAGACAAGAACATATACTAACGACTATAGAGTCCTGTCATATATTTGGTTAATGCAAAATTAAATCTTGTTTCATTCTGCTGTCCTTACAGCACTGGTAGCTAACCTATTCTCAGCCTTATCTCCTATAGTCACTTGCATAATATTTGTATAACTGAGATCTCTTTTCCCAGCCTTTCCTCTTCCTGCCTTGCTATCTTTAACTCTGGCAAGCTGTTGACTAGAATTTGTATATATTTTTCTAGGGATATAAATCAGACTTGCTAGAGATGTCCATTAAAATTGAATGGCCAACAAATTTGAATGAATGAATGAACAAAGAAACAGAAAAACAAATTAAATATTAGAACTCTTGGTGTTCTTTCCAACATGACTCCTTCCTTCCCTCTCTCCTGGGCATAATTTCAAAGGTTTTAAATAGCCGTAGTTTTCTATTTTGCTGAAATTAAGAAATGATGAAATCTGGATGGGGACATACCAGTAACTTGCAGTATTGTTCAAAGTATATTTAATACTGTGACTTCATACTGAATATGGCAGATCAAGCAAAATGTGGATCCATGGAGATTCTGGGGTTTTACTTAAAACAAGTGGAGAAAAGGAACATTTACATAAGGGTGAGACTTGTTCATAACTTAGCTTGTAAATAGTTTGAGTCAATGACATATAGTTGCAAATATAGTTGTCTTGTGCATTCTGATAGGAATTTTGCAATACTACCAAGTGGAATATGGTCCCCCTCAATAACAATTGCAGAAATATACTGCTATAGTATCAATCAATATCCTTTATTACCATTGTTGTCTAGAATTTAATACTTTGATATTGTTTTTCCATTGTAAGCATTGTATCCAGCCAACACCAAATTACATTCCTATAATATTGCTATCTTAATCATTATGGACTATCCATATAGGATGTTAAGAGACAATGTATCAGGGAAATGGGGTGCAGGCCTTGGAAATGGCTAAGCCAATTATTTCCTTAGAATTTAGATTGAGAGCCCAGAATTAGTTTTGTTGAACAACCCCCTCTGCTCCTGCCCAAGAAACTTTATGGATGGCCTTTCCTTCTAGCTGAGTCATGTCACTTAACCAGCTGTATAGTCAAAGTGCAGTATGTTAAATATTTCTGCTCCTTTGTTTCTCATTATTCCTGTCTCAATAATCTGATAAAGTCCTTTGACCTATGTAATGAATTATTCCTTCACATTCTTATCTCATTTGCCCTTTCCTCCTGCCTCTTGCCTTCCCCTCTATTTCCTATCATGATTTCAGGAATGTAATTTGAAATATTTAGTTTGCACTTTTTAACTGTTATAACGAAGCATAATCAACCCTGTTTCAGCTTGCACTAGCATCTGAAGTAATTGTAGCTTTGCACCTATTTTGCATCTCTTGTTTTTTTTTCCTGACAAAATTACACAAGAGTTTCAAGAACTGAAAGCAACTTAATGCCACAATAGACTAAATGTCCATGCCAGCAGTACTTACCAGTACATAGACTAAATGTCCATGCCAGCTTTAATAAATTGTTGTTGAGTAGATTTCTGCTGAAAACTTTATTTATTGAATATTCCATGCATAGGGCAATAGCTGAATGGTGATGAAAATGTAAGATTGCAAAATTACCATTAAGACAGATTATTGGTAAAAATCTGAAACAGTAGGCACAATCTAAAGAACTACAGATCTAGTTGTATACTTCCAAGTACTTTTTGGGCTTGTGTCTTTTGGTCAGCGCGCACACACACACACACACACACACACACTCCATTCAGGAGTGCATCTGAGCTACTTAGATCCTTGCAAGCATTTAGAGAAACCTGTAGAAAAATTAATGAATCTTATGAGAGCCAGTTTGGTGTAATAGTTAAAGCACCAGGATGGAAACTGAGAGACTCTGAATTTTAGTCTTGCCTTAGATACAAGTGGATGATCTTGGGCCAGACACTCTCTCTTAGCCCTAGTAAGGAGGCAATGACAAACCACTTTTGAAAAATCTTATCAAGAAAACTGCAGGGACTAGTCCAGGTAGTTACAAGGAGTCAACACTGACTTGAAGGCACACAACCACCCACCCACCCAAAATATCATATCTTATAAAAAAGGCAAAGAGGGAAAATATTTTGTTGCATATAATATCAACACAAATGGTATATGGAATATGCTCACCTAGTCAAAAAATGTTAGTCACCTTAAAATTAATCTAATTTTAAATGGGTAAATGTAAATGGCTTTTTTGGGACCAGCCAGAAGACATGAAGATATATCCAGTTGTTCTGATTCCCTTCCCCCTCTGGCAATAAACACCTTTGCATATTTTTGTGTCATTTAGATAACATAGATTTTAAACCCCACCCCACCCTCAACATGGAGATTTTTAAAATCTTATATACACATAACATTTTTTTTCTCTGTAATGTTTCTCACTGTTTTTAATGTTTTCTTCCCAGGATCTTTATGAGTTTGGACAGTGTTAAAAATTAGACGAACATTTTAAAGTTTGTTTAAATCCAACTTGGCCAATGGAAACATGGAGAAATATTACAGTTTTGGCATTAGTGGGGAAAATGAAAACAAATTAAAAGATTATAGTATTATAATATGTGTTATGAGAAATATTAAAATATTATATTTCTCATATCACATTGCAGCAAACAAGAGAGGAACTTCTCTTCTTTTGTCATTCAGAGGTTTTGTAGACTGCCCTTGAAATACTAAGCATCACTGAATATCTTGATCCCTGTTGTATAAATTTTAATAGTAGGATCTTGAAATCCAGTTGAAATGAGTATTTAGCTATAGAAACTGAACTGGGATCCATTTCTCTCAGCCCTCCTAACATGTGGAAATGAAAGGAAGGGAGATACCCCTGTAAATTGACTTGAGCTCTTGGAGAAAAGACAGGATATGAATCTAATAAACAAATTATGGGGAACTGAAGGCTAGTGGGTCAGGTCACTCTGACTCCCATAAAGTCATAAAAAGTGATTGCTAAACAGAAAAGAAAATATGAAGGCAGATTCTGGAGAAGGGAGCTGAAAACAAGAGAACGTCATATGCATTGCTGAGTCAGCACCAGCTTAATATTATTAGAAAGGATTCTTTTAAAAGCCTTTGTTTAAGGGAGGCGATATAGCCTGCTAATTGAAAAAGACAACATGTATCTAAGATGTTAATGGGTTATTTTCAATATTGGATTCAAAGAAGCGTATAGCCAAGGAAAAAGACTTTGTGCTATTTCTAGGTGCAGACTAAGTTTAACAGAGGCTACTTGCGGAGTGTTGCTAGATCTATGTTTTGTGATAAAATACAATATGGGTGTTTTTGCTTTGTTTTCATTTTTTGACATAGTATAATGTGTGAATAATCTTGGGAGAGCTTATATGCCCTCTCCCCAATTGCTAATCAGTCTATTAATAGAAGAGGGAAAATAAGCCAGTAAGTACTTTGCCTATACAAATCATTGCTGGCTTGCAAGAGTGGCTTTGCTTTGTCCAACAAACCAACATTAAAGGAAATCCTAGGTTAGCGTGATTTGTTGCTGTAGCTACATTTATTAGACAACTGGGCATGGAACTCTCCCACTTCAGTGTTAAGGATACCCATAAAGTTTAAGAATTAATCCCAAATTCAAGCTGCTGAACTGCTTTTCAAAACAAAAGAAAATTGAAAGAAAAAAAATGCTGTCTTCTCCAAATTGTGTTTAATTTAGCTGGGCAGAAGAAGGAGACCTTCTGAACTTCATATGAAGAGATAAGAAATCCTTCCCCCCCAAGTGATGTATTACATTTTCCTCATTGCTATATATTTAGCTCACCAAGCTTGCCACCAAAATACAGTAAAGTCATCAGGAAAATTTTAGGGACTGATGCACCCCTCACTCCCACCTCTCATATCTGGCACTTGTGATTTCCCATACCTATTTGGGGTTTAATGTTAACCAAGTAACAACAATAAAAAAATAATGCAAAATTTTGCAGCATTAAAAACAGTAGTTTGCTACCAAATCAGTGATTCAGTCCTGGGTAAGAAATGTGACATACAGCCTGTGGGTTACCTTAAAAGGTTACCTCCTTTTAAAAAGAGACTGGAAAATGTGGGTGTGATTACAATACTTAAACAATGAAGAAAAGACTTCTTTGCTGACTTCTGTAGAAAAGACATGGAAAGAGTCAGAATACAGATAGTCCTTGGCTTACAATGACAAGGGAGACCGAAATTTCTGTTGCTAAGCGAGAAAGTTGTTAACTAAATTTTGCTCCATTTTATGACTATTCTTGCCACGTTTAGTGGATCACTGCAGTTGTTAAGCTAGCAATACAGTTGTTAAATGAATCTGGCTTTCCCATTGATTTTGCTTGTTAGAAGGTTGCAAAAAGTGATCACATAATCTTGGAAAACTGCAACCGTCATAAATATGAGTCAGCTGCCAAGTGTCTGAATTTTGATCATGTGACCATGGGGATACTGCAATGGTCATAAATGTGAAAAATGATCATAAGTCACTTTCAGTGCCATTGTAAGTTTGAACGGTCACTAAATGAACGGTTGTAAGTGGAAGACTATTTGTAAATGTATATTCATCTAGCTCAGTGTTTCTCAACCTTGACAATTTTAAGGCATGTGGACTTCAACTCCCAGAATTCCACAGCCAGCATTGCTGGCTGTGGAATTCTGGGAGTTGAAGTCCACATGCCTTAAAATTGTCAAGGTTGAGAAACAGTGATCTAGCTAGTAACTTGTTGTTCAACTAGTAACTCTTTTACACTGCAGGGCAGAGACGCCTTATGCCAAAAGATCAGAAGTATCAGGAATCAATTTTTCTAACTATCACATTTTATGAAAAAGCATAAGCATCCATGAATTGCAACCCACTTCATCGATTCCATATATATGTTGTTCTAAATATTTTTTTAATTGGAATAAGGACTACCAGACTCCTGGTTTTTAATTTCTTTTACAATATGCTTTACAGAGACGCAGAGACTTTCTCCAGCTGATGCTTGATGCATGTATCCTGACATCTGACATCGTCATGGAGCAATCGGACAGAGTCAGTCAAGATGATATTTCCGGAGCTCTGCCAAAAAAGCAGCAGATGTGGTTGAATGATGATGAGATAGCTGGACAAGCCTCCTTGTTCCTAATTGCTGGCTATGAAACCAGCAACAGCACACTTTCCTTTGGCACTTACCTGCTGGCTACTAACCCCCAATGCCAGGAGAAGCTGCTGCAAGAGGTGGATGGCTTCTTTTCAAAACATGTAAGTGGGCATCCTGACTGCCATTCTCCCTTTGGACAAAGGTTGGGTGGTGAGATTGAGATGCCCTTGATAGGACTTCTAAAATAGGATGGTTTAAAATGTGGGTTACAGGCCAAGCAAGAGTAGTAAGATGCATATTTCAGTCAAAATTGAGCCAAGCCATCTTGATCAGGGCAAATCCTTGCCCTATCCGTGATCTTTATTGTGAACAAAGTAATACAGCCAGATCGCTTCCAGATGGAAGGTCAGTGCAATTATCTCTGTAAATGGAAAAAATGCTTTATAATATTTTCACAAGCCAGAAGTATCTGTTTCTCAAGCGCATGCATTCAGTTGCAAATGCCTAGACGCTGTTCCTCAGCTAGGCCATTGATCTGTCTCTTCTATCAATTGGCTAGGGAACAGTTCTCCATATTTTCAGACAAAACCCCTTCTCAGTTCTTTAATGTATTCCAAGTATTAAACTTGGGAATTAAACTTGGGAATCCTTTTGCATCAGAGTATACACTCTGCCGGTGAGCTGTAATACATCATCTGGCCCTGCATTTTCAGTTTTTCTCAGCAGTTGTACTTATCATTTGATAAACAACTTCCTAAAGATATTCTTCAGTGCCCCCTTCCTCCTCCTCCTCTTCCTCCTCCCCCTCCTCCTGCTCCTCCTTGCCATTTTTAAAGTCATAAAAGAAAGAAAAATTACCAAATGCCCTACTTTATTGATTATCTATTAATCCATATCAGGATATAATATATAAAATACAGAGCAATAATAAGACCATCTGTTACAAAAAGATAGAAGTAAAAGGAAATGCAGATCAAATTTCTATATTATGCCTACAATTTAGCCCTATCATTTCCACATGGGTGGTTCTGAACTATTTGATTCCGATAAAGGGCCATGCTATGAGCAATATTTGGGAGCAAATCATTAAAAGGGATTTGATTTTAATTAAATGTAAAAGCAGAGGAAATAACTATTTCTGTTATTCTCCCAAAGGTGCTTTTTCAAGAGGCAACTGGACTTCCTTTGTTTTTCCTTGAAGATGTTTCGCTTCTCATCTAAGAAGAACTGAAGAAGCTTTTGGATGAGAAGCGAAACGTCTTCAAGGAAAAACAAAGAAAGTCCAATTGCCTCTTGAAAAAGCACCTTTGGGACAACTATAACCTGGATGACTGAGAATCTTCATAGATATTTCTTTTGTTTTGACCCCACCATCTTTTCTATCTTGAATCCATCCATTTTTGAAATATGACATGTAGCATTCTATTCAACAGTTCTATAGCTCTTGATTCCCAAAAGTTATACACCCTCACCTATGACAGTGACCATGATGGAGGAACATGTCTCCCTTCCTTCACTGAGATTGTTGCTGTAGAGAACAAAGTACATTGCAAGGCTGTTTCCCTACCCGTATATCAGTGATACCTTGGCCAAATTCACACATAGTGGTAAGCCATGATTTAATGTTACCAGCACAGGCCACACACTCAATCATCCTCTCCATCAGAATTTAGTCTGTTTCACTGTAGGTTTGATACCATAGCAATTATAGCCCCAGATATATCCCTGGAAGAAAAAACTCTTTTCCTTCCATGGAGTTTCTAGACAACAATGAAAAACAAAGATTTTTGTGGATCATGCCACCTGTTTTAGTATTTTATTTTTTATATTATGCATTGAACCATTTGGAAGCAAAAATTGCTTTCTCTGACTATTAAAAGAAACTGAATGTCATACGTACAGAGATGATCTTGTCAACGAACCATCCAGGAATGACCGCATTATTCCCCATATATTTAATGACATTCAGATAGTCTCAAAGCACTTCACACCCAGAACTACGGAAGCTACAATTTCTTGAATCAATATACTGCTGAAAAGGCTGCATGTATCAGGAGAGACTGCGGTGTAAATAGAAGTTGGAAGAGGAGTTCCAGAGGCAAAAGAGACTATAGTGTATATGCAGAGCACACAACAAAAGCAAGTGCGGCAAATAGATATAATTTGCCTGTCCAGAAACAAAAACACCAAAGTACTTTGATTTCTTTATATGTATTCTACATGATAGAGCTTCGGTTGCAGGCAAAGGGGTTTTATATAGTTAGGAAAAAAAATAAAACAAAATCACCAATTCTTTCCTAGGGAAGACAAGTGCCAAGCCCCATTTTTTAAATCACTGTTTATAAACATTTACTATTTGCTTGGATCACTGGGAAGATTTCCATTTTAAAGGTGAAGATTGTCACATTTCTGTAGCTCGTCTCATCAGATCAAAAGAATGGAAGTATATTCTGCCTGTCAAGATGAAGGGTAAAGTCTCAAAAATAGGTTTTGATGGACAGATATTTCTCTTATTCCCTTCCCTTTTACTTACATAACTGCACCCCACCATAGTCTTTTTGCTCTTTTCAGTGCTACTCACCACATCCACTTAAAGTCTAGAAAATAAAGGGCATATGTAAATTTAGTTTAGCATTCAAGAAAATGAAACTTTATGGCAGAGGATATTGAATCGTGAATAGAGTTTCTAAAATACATTCCAGCCAAATCCTGTATTTCTTTATTTATATATATTCTCCTCTGTTTAATAGCATTTTTACAAGTTCAAAAAAGATATATTTTTGTATATAACTTAAGATCCCTGTCATATCAATGAATCTTTGAGAATTGTGCACAGGAATTTAATTTTAATGCTTTCTCAGTTTTCAAAGTTGTGTGTGAAATTAGATATTTTAAGGTATGTTTTATAGTAGTATTCTGTTGTTGTCTTTTAGCCATAAGATTCTTTTCCTCCAAAATGTAAACTTTCTGATGATGTAGAAATGCTTTCATCATTTTAGGGGAATTCAAAATCTTTTGAAGATTTTGCTTTAAGGGAGAGAATGATAAATAGAAATATTCCAAGTAAATAGGATGTTTCATGTTATAAGTCAGGCAAAGGAGATTTAATATTAGTGACTTAGGCATTGTAATTATTACAATGATTGATTAGGTTAAATTGTTTTATGGATATATATTGACAGTAAACACTGAACATTGTGTTTTCTGGAATAAAGCACAATTTCATATTTCAGTAAAGTATTCCAGAATTAAATTTGAAAGGCTGGAAAACTTTATAAGATAAATGCTCAATCTGAACATTAGTTATTTTACACTTAAGAATAGATCTCTTTAGTTTCTCCAAGTACTATTAATCACTGTATTCCTTAGAGATCACTAGAAGTCTTTGGTCAAGGCAAGCATCTTATTCTGAAAATGATATTTTCCTAGGTTGGCAAAGCCCCAACCTGTTGTAGCAGCTTCTTTCCTTTTGCAAAGCTATTTGTAAGTGCTAGAAACTTAGGAAAATGGTTGTCACCTCTTTAAGCAGTGCCCTTATTTATATTTTATTCATTTATGTGATTACTATATAGACCAATGAACTGCAGTTGTAGGAGATTTACAGAGTACAGACGATTGGAACTAAAACAAGAACACGGAAGAAAAATCAAACCAGTAACAATAACTTTGCCAAAATCCTGTCTCTTGGAAACAAGAAACCCTATTATATACCATAAAAATATACCGTAATTACAAAACAGTGTGCTGAAAAATCCAGTTCTTCTTAAAGGGAAGAAGGAAGGAAGTTGGTATATTTTACCAAACCATAAGTATCTAAATTCAAACAAGATGTTAAATCAAAACCAAACAAGCCACATAATAAACCACGAACCAGACTTGTACATTACAGAGAGAAATGATAGAATACAGCCTAGGCACAGAATTGTATTCTATCACCTAACCTTCCTTCCCCACCCTAAATTATGCACATATTTACAAAGTCTGAATACCAATAAGAATGCTTGTCTAATTTATTAAGAAATATTAAATCCCTAGAAGCAATGACTGATGGAATTAGGCAACAATTTAATGTTGCTGTGGCTTAAAAAAAATGTTCCAGATTGTACGGGTATATAGTTATGTGTATATAGTCAGAATGGAAATTTTCCTCCAGGTATGTACATAAATTAGGGTAGCATTAATGGGAATCAAGAGTCCATTTATTTGTCAATAATTGTGCAAAGTGAAAGCTGAAATACTAATTGCCGAAAGCATGGAAACTTGTTTATATGTGATGGTTATGTAAAGCAGAACCCTTCAGTGAAGTGAAAAGGAACTATGGCTTTGTATTTCTTGGTGTTCCCTACTTTCTGCAGCTACTTTCTATACTGCTGGATTGAATTAGCATGTTTTCTATTTATTGATTCATGCACTAGCTGAATGCAGTAGGAAACATTGCTAATATCTGACTGATCTAAAATGAAATTTCATGTAACCTCTAACCCCTTTTTATAAGTTCCAGAGCAAAAAAGTGGTGACAAAACACCAATACATGAAAACACATAATTTTAAATCTTCTAAAGGCAACCTATGTCCCAAAACTATTCCCACCCAACCCTTGAAGATACAGGATCCTAACCTCAGTTCTACATTGTTCCAAACATTATACCTTTGGTTCCCCACCCCTCACCCCCAAAATGACACATTCACCCCCCCCTTCCAAAAAGAGACTTGGACTCCAACCATCAAGTTACATATTTGTAACATACCCAATTTAACTTGATTAGGTTGGAACTGCTTTGCCTGTGCCCTATAAATAATAATACATTTAAAACTCTTTGAAACTACTTTATAGCTAAGTCACAGCATTATCTGCACAAGGAATGGCTATAGAAAAATAAGTGCATGTCCACTGGGGTTTTTTATACGCATCAGTATGTTTGGGATTTTCTTATGGTCATCAAATATCCAGCTAGTTTTGCTCTTGCTTTGTTTGCATATTCTTGCCTTTAACATCTGTTTCCTTCTATTTCCTGGTTTCTTGTCCCATACTTTGCTCCTAGGAATGGGCTTTTCCTGCCATCGTGATCAATTACTTTGCCTTATCTTTAAGTTAAATGATTTGACCCAATCTTCAAAAGATGGGATTCTTCTTTTATTTTTATTATTTATTATAATTAAT